ATCATTAACATTATCGCCATCATTATCATTTCCATCAATATTATTATCATAACTATTATTACTATTACTACTACCATTATCAAGATCACTATCATTATTATTACTACTATTATTATTTGTATTATTTTCATCAGTGTTTTTAACTACCACTACTATTAATTGTTATTACTATTAGTATTACTATAATTGTTTTTATTATTATTATACTGATAATTACGGAGATAATGATGATGATGATTATTATTATTATTACTTTTATCATTATTATTATCATTATCATTATTATTATTACTGTTATTATTATCCTTATTATTATTGTTATCATTTTCATTATCGTTAATGTTATTTTTAACATCATCATCATTATTATGATAAAAACAAACACTATTATTATAATCATTATTGCAATCATAAAAATTATTAATATAATTCCTTTTGATTATTGTTATCATCAGTAATACCATTGCTCTCTTATAATAGTAGTAGTGGCAGTGGTGGTACTAGTATTTGTTATCATTATTATTATCACTACTTTCATTATTGTTATTACTATCATTATTCTCATCATAATCATTATTATTTGTTATTACTGTTATTATTTTTATCATATTTATGATAATTATAATGATGATAACAATAATAATAAAATACTACTACTAATACTAATACTACTACTATTAATTATTATAATCATTACTATTAGTAGTAGTAGTAGTAATAGTAGTGATAGTAGTAGTATCATCATTACTATATTTGTTATCATCCTCCTCCTCCTCATCATTACTATCATTATAACTAGCATCATCATTATCATTGTTATTTCTATTTTTGGTACTATCATTATTGTCACAATTACCCCATGAAGGCATTATTATTAACATTTTCATGGAAATACAGTGGCTAATAAAGGAACTTAAGAACAGTGGAAGCGACAGTGAAAATGAATAGCAACGGAGTTCATTGCCACAGATACAGAGGAGGTATGAATGAGGTTGCATGATTATACAGACATACATTGTTGGACTGATACATTCTCATTCATTTCTCATGTGTAGTAAGGGTATTGTCTGTGGAACATTGCCTTCCCATTGTGTATCATCTTATTTGCAACATTTTATTTTATAGTTCGTTTTACTGAGGGTTATCATGAACCAAATTACAGAATTGTGTTATATTCAGGTTTACGATTCTTTCAAGTAACTAAGGAATTCCGTAACTTGATTTGTAAATGAATTCGTAATCGGAACCTCAGTCTCGTAGGTCCATTTATAAATAGTTTAAAATAATAAAGAATCTTCTAAATCTCGCTATTTATGTCTGTCTTTCTATCTTTTCCTCTTCCTGTTAACCTATCTATCTATCTTTTCATATATATTGTTTATGTTTCTTACTTTCTGAAATTCTGAAATGACAATGACTTCCAGTATGTATATGAAAGTTTCGAAAGAACCGCTTTTATTGCGAAGCAGGGGGTAGAGAGTGTCATGAGAATATGTATATATGAATTTTCATGTTAATTGAGTAGATTGCTAGAGGTGAAAGTGGTCATATGACATCTTTCTATATCTAACTACCGCTAGGTTTATTAACTCTTTACTAGTTCTCTCCTTTCATTCATCTTCTAGCTTACCTTTCCGTCCGGCAAAGAAATGTGCATTTAAAATGAAATAATCATTCTTTATTCTTTTAGTATATACAGATAACAATCATTATAGCGAGAAAATAGGTCACATATAGTGCAGACGCATTTGTTAAGGAAACATTACTTCGATGGTTGGCCATATAACTGTGAGGGAGACCCTTGGCTCGATCCCTGACCGGACTGGCCGTATCCCCGATTCCCTCCTAAAGGATACTGCGCCTCTCCCTCGAAGGTGACGGTAGGATGGTAACCGGTGGCGTCCACGTAATACTCGACCAGAAGACGGCGACCATCCGGTAGCTGGACGTAGTAACTGTAGAATATGTTTTCGTTAGATTTTGGTTTACTAGTAACAATTATGGTAATATTAATAACAGTAATAATAAGAGTTTTTTGTAAAATAAAAGGATTTTTACCTTCCCTGAGTATTGGCGTCTTCCCTCTGTTCTTTGTGGCCGTAGAAGTTCCCTGAAGGCTCATGGTTCACATCCCACTGGAAGGCGTACTGGGCGGGCACGGAGGGGTACTGTGCTTGTCCCGCCCCGGTTGGGAACTGGGATCCTTGACTTCCTGGTGCCTGGTAGTTGTAGCCTTCCTGAGGAATTGCCGACGCCACGGCCACCAAAAGGGCAAACACAACAGATACCTGCAGAAATATGCTTTTCATAAGCTCGTGATCCGTATAAAATTCGAATTACATGTAGTCAGTCTACGTATAGAATCGTTACCTAATATAATTGAAAATAAGGTTTCACCATAAAGTAAGAACCTTTCTCTCATTCTTTCTTTCCTTTTTGTACTACATCATAAATACTGAAAAAAACTAACGTCAGATCTCTAACGAAACTATACCTTCATATTTGCTGTAGTCGGCAGATGAGAACTGATGGCTGGACACGGCAACTTATACTTATATAACGGAATATAACCGGTGAAGGGGTTTCTCGCAGCCACGCACCTTCCCCGTTTTCTTTCTTGGTCTTTTTAAGGGTTTCGCTTTCTTTTCACCTGAAGATTTTACTTCCTGGCAATAATTCTAACTTTTATCCTCCTCTTTCAAGTGCAATAGAATATTTATGTAATATAAATGTAGAAAAGGTATGAATGAGAAAGAATATCTTCACAATATAAAGAACGTATTTGACCGGTTTCGATTATATCTTCGCCAGAAATAAAGAATATAATCGAAACCGGTCAAATACATCTCTTGTATTGTGAAGATATTCATTCTCATTCATACCTTTTCTACATTTACCAACATGAGTTTATGTAATATGCGTTTATACACACACACACACACACACACACACACACACACACACACACACACACACACACACATATATATATATATATATATATATATATATATATATATATATACATATATATATATATATATATATATATATATATATACATATATATATATAATGTATATGCATATATATATATATATATATATATATATATATATATATATACATACACACATACATATGTTAATATATATTTATATACACATAAACACATACACATGCACAACCCTTCTGGTCAGGGAAGGTTTTTATACACACAATCACACACACACACACACACACACAGATGTGTGTGTGTGTGTGTGTGTGTCGGTATACCATATAGGTGTAGATATATGCATATATGTGTGTATGTATGTGTGTGCGTGAGTGTGGGTGTATTGTGTGTGTATGTGCTAGTGCGTTTGAGTTTGTTTATGTATATATACATATCATGTATATATAAGCATGTATATATAGATGTATGTATATATATATATAAACATATACATATATACACACAAATATGTGTGTGTGTGTGCGTATGTGTATTCATATATTTATGTACATATACATGCATAGATATATGCAAATATGTAAATATATACGTATATGTGTATATATAGACTTTCATATAGAAACAAACATATATATAGACATTCATATAGAAACAAACATATATATAGACATTCATATAGAAACAAACATACATATACACATGTAAATGAATATGTATATAAATACATATGTATGTATTTATGAATAAGAATATATACATGTCGTACATACATAAAACACACACACACACACACACACAAATACGCACTTGTAATATAAAGACTACAGAAAATAGGGCAGGAGTAGCTTAAATAGGAGAATGTGGGAAGTCAGAAGAAAGAGGGAGGTCTGCAATCACTGCGACTCAGTATATAAAGGCGGGAATCCAAGCCCAGTCGTCAGTTCTCATCCTTCACAACAAAGGCAGAAATGAAGGTAGTGGACGCGCCAGAGTATAAAGATGCTCTTCTTTGTGAGGTGTAATTTTCTAAAATACCGGATTGATTATACGTAAATCAGTTTCTCTACGGATTAGTAACTTATCAGATGCATAAATTTGCAGGTATCAGCTGTGTTTGCCCTTTTGGTGGCCGTGGCGTCGGCGATTCCCGAAGAAGGCTACAACTACCAGGCACCAGGAGGTCAGGGATCCCAGTTCCCAACCGGGGCTGGACAGGCTCAGTACCCCTCCGTGCCCGCCCAGTATTCCTTCCAGTGGGATGTGAACCATGAGCCTTCAGGGAACTTCTACGGCCACAAAGAGCAGAGGGAAGACGCCAATACTCAGGGAAGGCAAGTTGCCATAATTTACGTTCATGTTATACGTATCACTGTTATCGCCTTTTTATCATTACTATGATGTTATCATCAAAAATAATAATAATAACAAGCCCTGTTTACTTTCTACAGCTACTACGTCCAGCTGCCCGATGGTCGCCGTCTTCTGGTCGAGTATTACGTGGACGCCAGCGGTTACCATCCCACCGTCACCTTCGAGGGAGAGGCGCAGTATCCTTCAGGAGGGAATCGGGGATACGGCCAGTCCGGTCAGGGATCGAGCCAAGGTTCTCCGTCGCAGTTATACGGCGCTCCCTCTAAATAGCAACGTCTTTATTACTGCAGTTATATTTGTTATTATAAAGTTCTGTTAATAAATGTTGCACCAATGTTGAAGAACGTTAGATTCTACCCAAGGATAGCCTTAGAAAATTGGTAATAACAAAAAGTACAAATGAAAAATGAAAAAAAAAGAGAAGTAGGAAGTTTTCCTGCCCGATGGTCGCCGTTGTCGTAGTACCTGCAGTATCCTTCAGGAGGGAATTGGGGATACGGCCAGTCCGGTCTGGGATCGAACCAAGGATCTCCCTCGGAATAGATATATTCACTGAATGTTGTAGTGAATTTACTATATTATGAAGTCTTGCTGTCAGTGATATTAAAAGTTCTATACGGCCAGTGGAAATTATCATTTTAGTAATAATTTACCTTCTTGCAAGTGTTCTTAATCGTGTGGCATCTATCAACCTTAGAGGTATGAGCACCAAAGACTGGGTATATAGGACTCGACAACATCGAGTCCCATCGAAATAGATATATTCACTGAATGTTGTAGTGAATTTGTTATATTGTTATGAAGTCTTGCTGTCAATGATATTAAAAGTTCTATACGGCCAATGAAAATTATCATTTTAGTAAGAAGTGACATAATTTACCTTCTTCCAAGTGTTCTTAATCGTGTGGCATCTATTAACCTTAGAGGTATGAGTACCAAAGACTGGGTATATAGGACTCGACAACAGCTAACGTTAGCCCTTCGCCCACAGGAGAAAATATAATATAAAGTAGTAGCTCACAGGTTCCTCTATTCGTGGCTCTCCTTCTGTAAATTCATATTACATGTTTTAGAAGTCTTATTGACACCTAATAACATTGTCTAATAACTCTTACTGTAACACGAGAAAGAGCAAGAAACAAAACTATAGCAATGTAGTGATAAAGAGAAAGTTATAAAGTGATGAGAATAAATAGAGATTGGGATGCTATTAACATTATTCACCAAAGCAGTAGGCTACTTAGTCTAGTCTCCAGTAGGTGCCGCTACATTCGAGAATAAAGCGTCATATCATCCAGGCTCGTCGTAAGCCCAGTATCCAACTAAAGGCTAAACCGAAAAACACTCAACTGCATATGTACCATGTTGCAGCGGTAACACGTGCGGCTGGGGACCATGAGGGTCGGTCGCGAGGCTCACGCGCGTTCAAATCCTACCCCAGTGATCTAAGATTAAAAGTTAAGACATCGACTCGAGGCAACGGCCGCCACCTTCGAAAGAAGTCACCGTCCTAGCCCTTGCGAGGGAGTGTGTGGCTTAAAACCGAATCAGTAAAGATGCATTGCGTGCTCTCGCACTCACACACACACTCATCTATTTATCAATTCAGAAGTATGATTTTTTTACTATTATACTCTCACTTTTATTACTAAAATTACTATTATCATTGTTATTGCTGTTATACCCATGTGTAGTAGATCAAGGAAAGTACCAACGTGGAGGGTTCAGGGTTTCTGGAACGCGTCGTTTAAACTCCGCCCTTTTAGCCTGAAAACAAACATGGAATTCATTACTAGAGGGCCACCTCATTTTCATTGTGCATTGAGATGCTTAGCCGTACATACATTTTTGGATCATTCTGTATTCAAAGATTAAAGAAACAAACTATGAACACGGAGATTATTTTCGTTTTTGATAGTCATTGGAAATATCTGGAAACTTTTTTTCTCTCAAAAATACACGGCATCTTAATCCATTTATCTTAATTCCTCTACACGATTTTGTATACTGTCAATAACTTATGTGTATATAAAGTAAGGACGCATAGCATAGCTTTGATAGCAATGTATATTATGAATTTCAGGAGAAATCTTGTAAGGTGACGGAAGTTGAAGAGAGAGAGAGAGAGGGGGTGGGGGGCTAAAGACCACTAATAGCTAATTATATGATTAGTATATAATGTGTTATAGTACATGAGTACGTGGCGCAATGAGGTGAGGTTAGACTTTAAGATAGGAGTCACTAAAAAAGAATTCCTTTAGTCTGTAAAAAAAAAAATTGACTGTAACATAGTAGATTTAACCAAATATGATGTATTTGTTTTTCACTAAAGTATACAAAAAAGAGAGAGAGGAGACGAGAGAGAGAGAGAGAGAGAGACAGGGGGTGTAAGAGAGAGAGAGAGAGAGAGAGAGAGAGTGAGTGAGTGAGTGAGTGAGTGAGAGAGAGAGAGAGAGAGAGAGAGAGAGAGAGAGAGAGAGAGAGAGAGAGAGAGTCGAGAGAGAGTGAAAAGGGGTGCAAGAGAGAGAGAGAGAGAGAGAGAGAGAGAGAGAGAGAGAGAGAGAGAGAGAGTGAAAGAGATAGGGAGAGAGAGAGAGAGAGAGAGAGAGAGAGAGAGAGAGAGAGAGAGTGAGTGAGAGAGAGAGAGAGAGAGAGAGAGAGGGAGAGAGAGAGAGAAGACGAGAGAGAGGAAAGGGGGTGCAAAAGAGAGAGAGAGAGAGAGAGAGAGAGAGAGAGAGAGAGAGAGAGAGAGAGAGAGAGAGAGAGAGAGAGAAGAGAGAGAGAGAGAGAAGAGAGAGAGAGAGAGAGTGAAAGAGATAGGGAGAGAGAGAGAGAGAGAGAGAGAGAGAGAGAGAGAGAGAGAGAGAGTGAAAGAGATAGGGAGAGAGAGAGAGAGAGAGAGAGAGAGAGAGAGAGAGAGAGAGAGTGAGTGAGAGAGAGAGAGAGAGAGAGAGAGAGAGAGAGAGAGAGGGAGAGAGAGAGAGAAGACGAGAGAGAGGAAAGGGGGTGCAAAAGAGAGAGAGAGAGAGAGAGAGAGAGAGAGAGAGAGAAGACGAGAGAGAGTCGAGAGAGAGAGAGAGAGAGAGAGAAGACGAGAGAGAGTCGAGAGAGAGAGAGAGAGAGAGAGAAGACGAGAGAGAGTCGAGAGAGAGAGAGAGAGAGAGAGAAGA